TTGGTCGATTGTTTGAAAGAGACCCATCCGTGACGACCTCGCACCGTCTGCCGCTGCAAATGAAAGATGCGAAAGAACAACGGCACCGTCGGTTCCACCGAGAGGTAGAAACACACCACCTCGAAAGCCCGGATGAAAGCCAGAGCGTTCGGGTGCAGCTGAGACGGGGCAAGACGCAGCCAGTCAAAAATCCCCAGATGGAAGGCAGAGAACGGCAACCGGAGCCGAGCTTCTTTAAAATAAAATTCATACATCGGGAACATCTTCCGCCCATAGCGCGAACAGATCCGATGGTGCGCTTTCGGGCGATACACCTGCCAGTGTTGCGTTTCTCCTAGCGGCGTGTCCTCGACCGTGGCATACACGTCGGACGGGTCGACCACAAAACAAGAAGGGATGGTAAGTGGCTCCTCGGCCGCCCACTCCTCGGGCAAGGAGACGCGCCCGTCGTCATACTCCGGGACCTCGGGTTCATCATCTTCAACCATTATCCCCGGCACCAGAGCCGACATCTACACCTGAAAGCAGAGGACCTCGGTGAATTCGATAGCCAGGATCAAATCCACCCTTCCACCGCAAGTCAAGTGAAAGGGCGACAAAGGCCGAGGGGCGGCGAGCAGACATTCGCTCCCCGCCTACCCTCCTCGGGGATCGAAGAACGACCCCTCAGCCCTTCGGGGCGGCCGTCGGAGAAGATACTTCTCCCCGGGGCAGTCATCAGAAAAAGCCCCCGTCCTCGGGGCATTCATCGGAGAAAAGCCCCCGTCCTCGGGGCATTCATCAGAAAAAGCCCCCGTCCTCGGGGCATTCATCGGAGAAAAGCCCCCGTCCTCGGGGCATTCATCAGAAAAAGCTCCTGCCCCCGGGGCATTCATCGGAACTAGCCTACCGTCCCCGGGACATTCATCGGAAAACTCGCCAGACGCGGCGGAACTCGCATCCCTCCTCGGGGCGCTCATCGCGCCCCGACCACACGTCCCAGTTAGACGACGAAAATAAAAGAGAGGGAGAAGAGGAACTCACTTGTAACGGCGGCGGACGGAAGAAAAAGCGAATGGCACGGCGTTGATCGGCGGCGAACGGCGGACGGGCAGAGACGATGAAAGATCAACAGGGAGAAAAGTAGCAGAATGAGCGGGGACCGCCATATTTATAACCCGGCGCGAGGCTCGAAGCGACCCTAGGCTCATTAATGACATAGGTTAGCCGCCCCTACGACCGCTCAACGCAAGACACGTGGAAGCAGCCTGACAGTCGCGTCTCTCCATCTGCCTCCTCCCCGTTCTACCGACGACCGGAGCCCTTCGCACGAGTCCCCCGCTCCAGACATGACGACCTTAAGTCCTCGCTCTTCCCCAGAGCTTCGACTTGGGGGGCTCCTGTTCCGGTGTGGGCCTCACCTCGGCAGGCCCAATACCAAATACGGCCCAACAGGCGAACTGAGCACACCTGGCACACGCCCCTTCGGACGAGCAGGACCGTCCGCCGGGCACAAGCCATCACGCCGCATCCCCTTCGTCGTCCGTCACACCAGACGAGCGAGACTACCCGGGCTCCCTCCGCGGGAGAATAACGTGCTCGGCGCACGTTCTCCACGTGCTCCCCTCCGCGGGGACACGTCATCGGCCAACCGCCCACCTCCGAAAGAGCAGGTCAAACCCACTTTCCGGAGACCTAGGAGCGGTTGAACTAGGGCGAAGACCACGTCCTGGTCTTCACTACGCCACGTAAGCCCTAGCAGTCATTAGGGTTGGGCCTGGTCGTCTGGCCCACCTCGAATGACCGTTGGCCCAGCGCTGGGGTCTCTCTATAAATACCCTCTTCTTCAAGAGGGTCAGGTAACTCTTCTTGCCCCCTTTTCTGTACTATTGCTTCCTCTCTGTCCAACTTCTTACTTGGGCGTCGGAGTGCTTTGCAGGTACACCCCCTCCTCGTTCTTACCTCGGCGGACAGATAACCGTCCGGCGAAGCGTGGCCAGTCCGTGATCCCTCCTGATCAGGTCAGATCATATATATATATATATATATATATATATATATATATATATATATATATATATATATATATATATATATATATATATATATATATATATATATATATATATATATATATATATATATATATATATATATATATATATATATATATATATATATATATATATATATATATATATATATATATATATATATATAAAACAAAAGTGTTAATGGTCTAGTGGTGAAGATTACCCCCTTAATCTTACAATAATTTTAGTTTGTCATTTTTTTAATTTTTGCATCCTTAATTATTTAATATTATTAAAATAATTAAAAATTAAAATAATATATAACGTAAATTTTAAAATGATTTTAAATAAAATAAATAAATCCATATCACCACATATAACATTAAAAAAAAACAAAAAGAAAAATTCAGTCAACATGCCAACTACGACGTTTTCATATGGCAAGATCAATTTTACAATCATAGGGTCTAAATAACAGAATCTTCATATGATAAAATTAATTTTACAAAAAATAATTTTACAGAATTTAATATTAAAAGAATCTTCATATGACAAGATAAATTTTACAAAAAAATAGTTTTACAAAAATAAACTAAAATTCACTTATATGGCAGAATGAATTTATATTAACCCAAAAGAATATCACATTTCTTAAAATAAAAAAAAATGAATTTCAACACTTGTCTTCTAAAATAAGTGGAGTAAATAAAAATTAATTTTGTTAGAGCTCATAAAATATGTAAAACATAAATAAAAGCTGAAAGCGAAGAAATGGTTGATCCACAGATTGAAGAAATGGTTGATCCACAGATTGAATATATGAACAAGTGATAATTTATCTAGTACTTTTAAACAAAATTGTTTGCTTCTCGCTACCCATTCAAGACGTTTTAGAATTGAGAAAGATTCAATTAGAGGCGTATATGGATCTAAAATCAATCCAAATTGAATCATATTCTAAAAACTATTTTTAAAAAACTGATTTATTTTTTTTAAAAATCGGTTTAAGTGTGGATCAGTTTATCAAACCGTTTCTTGACAAAAAACTCATTAAAAAAAACAATTTCTTCAAAATTAGATTTTTATTTTCTTTTAAGAAACCAATTTTATATTAAAAAAATTAGATATAAAACCATGTCTTATAAACCAAATTTTTTAATAAGAATCACATGTTTGAAGTGTTGAATATTTGTTTGAAATTGTTTCTTATGAAATTATAGAAATATTTGGTGGAATGTGAAACACTTTCAATCTTATGTTGTCAGAAGTGAAAATTTGTTGTTAGATTGACAATAAAGTTTTTATTTACATGGTTTTCAAATATTGAAAGTTTCATATTGTAATCTGAAAAATCAATTTTTTTTAAAGCTTATGAGGCAATTAGGAATTTAAATAGATGAAGTACCAAAAATTGTGAGAAATTGATTATATGATGAAAAGCTAAATGAAATTCACAAATGAAACAAGGTAGCACATTCAAATTTGCAGTATAACATTGACATGATCGGTGAGTTTTATGTAAATTCCTTTTTTATAAAACTATCTTATCATAATTTTGACCTTATAAATTCATTCATTGAAATATTTGCATCATAGTTCATAATAAATCTTCGAATCTAGAAGCAGACCAGTAAAAGCAAGGTTGTTAAAATTGCGATTTAAAACTTGAACTCTTAGATTTTATATTTTTAGGTCGGAATTTAGTGTTAAATCCCAAATAAAACCGTTTTTAAGTAAATTGTATATTGAAGCAATTTTACACGATTTAAATCTCTTTAAAATCTTAAAATTGTGTAAAATCTTTGAATTTTACTCTTTGACTTGATTTTATCTTTTTTTAAAAAAAATTTAAAAAGCCGGCCCAATAAAACTTTTTAAATAACCTTTTTTTTAATTACACATTAGATTTTTTTATTTACTAGAAAAATAAAAATTAAAAACTTTTAAACCCTAACATCAATTCAGTTGTACGACGTCGGACCAGAACTTCAACGACAATATTCTGTGAGTTATTTTTCTTTTGCTTTGTATATTGTGATGTTTTTGTGTCTTTGTGACCTTTTTCTTTAACTCGTAAATATCTAAAAAGTATCTTTTTCACAAATAAAAAACAGAGTAATGTTATGTTGCTGTTACTATGTGATTGTATGTTATATATATAGTTTCGATCTTTAAGTTTTAATTTTATCTAGATAAAAGTGATTTGACATTGTATATAAATTTAGCGGGTAAAATATTTCAAATTTTGACCCGTATCAAATTATTTTACGAAATTACACTGCACGTAGGTTATATATATTATTATTTTGAATACCCAATAAATTATTTTACATAAATTTAACACATAATAAAATTTGAATACCCAATATCTAAACCATATTATTATTTTCAATACCCAATATCTAAACCATATTATTATTATTATGAATACCAGTTTATATTTAGATAACAAAATGGATACTCATATTTATATTTTTCTATTTAGTTTGAATTTTTAAAAGTGGAATAATTTGAATACAATTTGGTTAAACATAATCGATTTTTTTTTTCACATCCCTAGATTCAATTAGGTCAACTTCGTTATTCAATCAGGGAATGGATCCTCTCCAATGAACCTTTTCACTGCAGAGGCTCCAGTGCACATCTTGTCCATTCAATCAACTCTATCTATACATTTGAATATGGGTTGTTCCAGACTAACCGTCTGTAATATATATTTAGGTATAAACAAAAATTATACATTTTATTCACCCCTCAGCATGGTCACCAACACAACACCATTGTGTAAAGGCATGGATTGACCCAAGCATTGCATTTCAAGAACTCAACATGATGTGTACAGAGTTGATTTGATGATTAATATTATTATTATTTACAAGTTACATAAATACATAAAACCTGAAGACTGGCAAATTAGGCCAAGACCTGGCACCAGATTTGAAGATCATACAATGGCAAATGGCCATAACTTATGTATCTAGTAAAATGCTATACAACGTCCTTGCTGATGGTAGTAGTAGTAGTACCATCTTCCAAGAATGCTAACTCTGAAACCAAGGCAATATGATCGCTACCCCATTTCTGTATACACAGTTATGAAATGGAAAATTATACAACTAAATAATAAAATACATGTTTCCAGCAGCAGTGATAAGTAATAAGAGCCTCTCGCTCAAATATGGGCAACATCCTTATTATGGTATAAACCTACCAATCTGCTAACTTTCAAACAAAAATTAGAAACTTATTCTTACCTTAGTTGGGTATCCTTGGGAGCTTTCCATGACATGTTTAGGTATTGGAGCAAGAACTCTGGTTGTTTGCAGACCTTCAGATCGCCTATGAGAAAGATCAAGGGAAAAATGTGTATTTCTGTCAACTTTGTTCAGTGTTAAGCATACAAAATGCACAATAGTTACTTTTGAACACTAACTAATACTCCTTTTGGTCCTTATTATAAGAAAAAGTTCACTTTTTATATACATTGAATAACAAATGTATCTGATCATATATAGATCAAATACATTAATTATTCAAGGTATCTAAAAAGTGAGTTTTTTCTTATATTTAGGACAGAAGGTAGTACTAACATATCCATCAGGTATGTAAATAGAAAAATCTTTAGGCAACTGCAATAACTTAAACGATGAAATAGGTATCACAGGAGAGCAAAACAGTTGTACAAAAACTTTAAAACTTAGTACGTACCAAATGTAGTCAACAGTGCCCAAGAAGCACTTGTTGTAGCTGGTTACTAAGGGTTCACCATTGGGGTCTCTAGTCCCTGAAGAGTTCTGCACGTACGAAAGAATGCCGAGGTCAACAACATGAACATGAGAAAGCAGCAGTTTTAATATAAATATGAAAATGCAATTCTTTTAGATCTACCGTAGCTTCGGTGTATGTGCTCTTGAGCAATAAAGGGTGCTCCAAGAATGTGCTCTCTGCATTTCCTGTTGCAGTTTCTATCTCAGCAGGGGTCCATGATGATGGTTTATAAGTAGTTTGCTCAGCGAAAATAGATTTGGAAATCAGACTTGGAGATAAGGCATCCTTCCCTTCATTGCTTTCTGCAGGCAGCATCGGGTTGTTAGAAGCAGAATCTAACACCCAAAACTCATGATATTTAAAGATCTGATTTCGCAGATGGGTAAGTTCAAGATCAATACCTTCTTCGGCATTATGTAAGGCATTTATGAAATCAATGGCATCTTCACCAATACTCCCAATGCTTACATCAGCTTTATCTAAATCATCAAGGGAAAAATTCTCTAGTTTTTCATTTACACGGTCATGCAAGTTGGAGTTTTCACTCAAAGATTCTTGACTTGAAGTTGAGATAGCATCTGATATATGTTCTGTGCTATCCATCCCGGTTGGGTCAGTTTGAACTGTCTCAAGAGCTGAAGGCATTATAGGTGTGACGTCAAGAATTTCATCATCATTTATATGATCAGTAGGGATTCTAATGATATTATTAGGATTTGGAACTTCTTTCATGCCATCAACTTCACCAATAACCATATTATGGTCAACAGCCCCCTGAGTATCTTTTCCTCCACATGCATCACTCTCCCTACTACACTGCACATTTGTCTGATTAGACATATCCAAAGCAGGACGGGAATTTTGATTTTCAGAACTGCTACTCTCACTGGTCGGATTCTGCATGTTTGACAAAGAACTATTTTGTCCAATTGTAACTCCCTTGTCACCTTCAGCGGATGCGGCCAGAACTGAACCGTTAGCAAATATTTTTTCCCTGTATTTATTCGGAAGATTTTAGCAGATATTGATTGTAAAAGGAAGAAATTTAACAAATTTCATCATGTAAACAAATCAAATGCAGAAGTCTACCTAGAATTTGGACTGTAAGTCCATGGTGCGCGAATTACAGCAGAAGCTTGCCCTGATATTCTATTCCTATCTATTCCAGATAGATCTAACTGTGATAATTAAAAAATATCATTTCTGCAGCTTCGTAGGTGTCAATCATTAGACTAACAAAGTAAAAACTAAAGGGTATACCTTTTGTTCTGCGATAAAGTTGTACAGTGGACTCTGCAACAAGATAAAGAATGTTAATGCCATAGAGGCTGTTACCAAACTTTACAAACTGATACAGAAAAGGCGTAATAATAAAAAATAACCTTAGGGGTACAATTAAAATCCCCGCAGATAATAATAGGGGAATTATTCCAAAGTTGAGAAACAGCTTGAGCCTTATCCAGTAGGACTCTGACCTGCTTGAAGTAAATATGAAGCAAATAGCAATTACAAGAACTAGAAATCACATGACAGAGTCAGCTGTGAGAAGCCGATATTAGCAGTTCAAATACAGAAAGAATCAGAGTTAGATAAGATGATGTCAGTGCATATACCTGGCCAAGCTTAATATCTCCTCTATTTGGATTGTAAAGCACATGGATGTTGCAAACCACAACTTTACGAGAACCTGTCAAGCTGAAGAATGCTGCATTTATGTTATATTGAGCAAACAAAGATACCCATCTTCCCTTCATAAAATATGAATGATGATTTTAAAAAATGAAAAGAAAAGTCGACCTATAAGCCTATTAACACCTCAGTCATTAGAAGAAAAGTTGCAAGCATCCCAATACAATCAAGGGTCAATTAAAATTATCTTGTGACTTTGTGCACCATTCTAAAGCTTTATGCCGGAAGTGTAAGATACTCTTGTGAACCTAGACACAGTCTCTTAAGTCTTAAACCTCACAGTTATGTTGACCTTAATTAAAACCACACTCTGCTGATAAATATTATATTTCTGTATGTATAAGTGGTATTCTCAATATTTTGCAACAGTGTTTCTTTTCTTTTTGTGGGCGAGGTGAGCAGTTTGAGAAAACATATCTTTCTTAAAGTGTGGAAGTTCTTTCATCCTAGGATGATGTGTGGATACTCTAAATGGTTACTGCAACTAGCTGGTACAGGAACTTATTGGGTTTGTACTCATTACTTTCATTCTATGATGATGCAGTTGTTTGAGTTCATTTGGCTCAAGCATGGCACTGGGCCAACATTACTCAAATACACATAAAACAGAACGTTAGGTTACTTTGTTGTTTGGTTCGCTTTTAAATGAAACAAATACTACTTCACCCCTCTATAGAAGTTTACTTATGTTATGTACATCAAAGAATTTTGTTGAAAACTTCAAGTTAGAACATTATGGAGTATGGACAGTGTTCATCTTAGGTTTCTTAGAAATATTTATGTATCCTCTGGTACCTGTGCCTCAGTTTTTAGCTCTGAAGCATGAGAACTTCTAAAATGGTGAAGTACCCGAATTAGATATCTACCCGGTACTGGTACATCGGTAATGTACTCCATTTTTTTATATTACTCTACTTCGAGTGAAATTTTCTCATATGTTAATGTAATAATATAAAGTTAATTTAAGTATATCAGTTTCTTTGTTGTTGTAACTTACTAATTTTTTACTTTTTAAACTTCTATTGTGATGTTTTGCTTTGAACTGAACAATCTAACTCTCTCATTTTACATTATATAAAAAGATTCTCATAGATTTTATTGGCATACCCATACCTTGATTTTTTTAAATATCATATTTCATACCTAGCCTGCACCTATGCATCTAAGGTTTTTTGAAAATGTCACACCCTATACAACCACCTAGCTTCTTCCTTAATATGTCACAGTAAACAATCAATAAAACTACATAGCTAAAAACTATTTTCAACCAATGAATGTAATTTTTCACCAGTTTAAACGACTACATAATCTATTGAATGTCTAGAACACAACTGTTTGTGCTTTGCTTTATGCTATCTTAGTTTACCCACTAAGGCATATCCAACAATAGCAAGGCAGAGAGAAATTATTCAAAGAAACTACGTTAATGGATTTTATAATTCAGCACAACCCCTCACTGAGGTGTACTCCGGGCTCGAGGTGTGGACAGTGCAGAAGCCCACCCAACCTTTTGCTGAATTTCAATTTTTTATCTAGAGAAATGTGGGTAAAAAATATCAAACTTCACCTAATACTATGTCATTAACCAACTATTTGAAAGGCTTGAAATGTTTAGTGAAAACAAATGAATGGCATTTGCATCTAATAGAACTATAAAAATTTGATTAGCCAACAGCATGGAGTAATTACCTGGGTGGGAGAGATCCATTTTGATTGATGAACTGTTCAATGGAGTCACATAAGAAAGAAATACAAGCACATCAATAGAGTGGTGAAAAGTAGGATATCAGAAGATTCACAGTTTGTCTCAATAGAAATTGAAAAAGTCAAAAATGGCCAGTATGAGAGTTTTTATATACCTCTAGTACACATATTTGAGCAACATTGTCTCTAAGACCCAACTTATTGAACTCTATGCTTTCTTCATATAACAAATTGCACCTATGATAAAAAGCAGGATAAATAGTAATATTTGTTAGAAGCACGCAAAGAGAAAGATATTGAGTATCAACAAGATCAAGAATAAAAGTATAAAAGAAAATAGCCACAAATAACACCAAAGTTACTCAAGGTTTATGATAGGAACCGGTTCAGATTCAGATTACGAATAGAAAGAACACATCATTGAATGTTTGAGAGATCCAGGACTCTCCCAATTCTACAACATCAACCAAGCCTTATCCCACTAAGTGGGTCGGCTACATGAAACAAATTGCGTTATAGTGTTCTATTAAAGATCATGTTTCTATCCAACTCGTTAACCTCGAGCTATTTTTCAATAGTTTCTCTTATAGTTTTTATAGGTCTTTCTTTACCTCTAGTTGATTGACTACTTTGTATCAGATTTACTCTCCTTACAACGGAATTCACAAGTCTTCTTTCTACATGCTCAAACCACCTAAGTCTATTCCCAACACTATCTCTAATAAGGTTATTTCTAATCTTATCTCGTCTAGTCTTACCACGCATCCAACGCAACATTCTCATCTCAGCTACACTTAGTTCATTCTTGTGTTGGTTTTTAATCGCCCAACATTTTGTCTTGTACAACATCGCACGTCTTACAATTGTTCAATAAAAAATTTCATTCAATTTTTGCGGTACTTTCATATATCAAAACATCTAAGGCCTTCCTCAATTTCAAACACCCAATTTGAATTTGATGGTTAACAAATACTTGTATTTCTCCATTGTTTTTTCAATGGACCCCAAATATTTAAACTGCGTAACTTGTGGTATTATATGATCCAACTTTCACATCTAGGTTAGAAACACGTCTCTTTTTGCTAAACTTACACTCTATATACTATGTCTAACTTCTGCTTAGGTGAAATCCATAAGTTTCTAAGCTTCGTCTACAAGTATTCAACCTCTCATTTAAATACTCCTTCGACTATTCAAGTAGGACTATATCATATACCAAAAGCATACATCTCCTTCCTAGCTCTTCTCTTGGATATGTTTCGTAAGTACATTCAAAACTAAAGTAAAAAGATAAGAGCTTAAGGTTGAACCTTGGTGTAATCCTATTTGTTAAAATACTGAACTATTCTGGAATGCTTGAATGAAATTCCACTCAGCTCATATGCTTTTATACAAACTAGAAATTAAATACAATGTAAGAGTTACAAGGACATTCAATGTAATTTACTAAGTAGATGAATGTAATTTACCAGGCATTTAGTTAGTTATTAATCATTTGAACATATTTCAATTTATTTTATAATTCCAAGTTTCCAACACTATTGTTATGGGAAAATCGTTCATTTCTCCACCCTGTGTCCGCACACTAGTCGATACCCCCACAACGATATCTTAGATAGTTCGAATATAGGCAATCCTCTCTTTTCTTCTTTAGGGTTTTCCACAAAATCTCTCTAAGCACTCTATCATATGTCTTTTCCAAATCAATGAAAACTAAGTGCAAGTCTTGTTGATCTATTTGATACCGCTCCATTACATGTAGTAAATAAATTGCTTCTATGGTCGACTCCCTATTCTAACTCCCACAAAATGACTAACTCTCCTCAAACCCCCTATTGCTATTTATCGGTAACATACCTTATTTCCCTAACTAAATCCCCAACTAACCTAAAACTAACTAACTACACTTGACCTATCAGTTTACTAGAGAGTACTAGTTATAATTTGTTAAGAAATAATCACTGAATGATCCCCAAGCCGTAGCCCATGTGGTTGAGACTCCTGAAGGCATAGTCCAGGGTCCAAACGCTACCTACTATCGACTAACATATGTTTACAGAAAATTTATTAAATGAATTAAGGCTTTGATATAACAACTTGCTCAATTATTATATGATTGTAGATTAGTGCCCTACGAATATGATAATAGCATTCTAAGTTTAAGTTATTAAAATAACGTATAAGCCAAATATGGGAAGAAAGGCATGTGCATAAATTTTTTCAAAAGATACACAAAAACACTGTGCACGAATGAAGAGAATGTTTAGTCATTATCAAAGAAAATAAATCCCAGTTTAATAAGTAGCATCCAGAGAAAAGTATATAGAACCTTGATGTTCGCCAAAAGATTGCACAACCATCAACTGGATTGCCCGTACGCATCTATAAGTGCAGAAATGCCGTTAGACTTCATAATGCAACAGAACTGTTCATTTTTCTTTGCAAAATAACTGATATAACAAATCCAAAATGACATTATATCAAAAGAAATAAAATAAACAACTATTGAAAGTGATTGATGCAGAAGAAAGGTTACTTCACTTTACAACTTGCAGAATATATAGAGAAATGGAAATGTTGCAAATCTATCATTATATGATACACCCATTTATACAAACATGCTTCTCAAGTAAAAGTAAAGTTCTTTGTTTAAATAGCTAATGTCAGCATTTCTACTCCCAAAAATGACAGAAATATATAAGCCAAATGAAAGGGACGTTCATATATTTATGACGAAATATTATGCAACATTTTTCACAAAGTGGGATTAGCTACATGGGTCAATTAACACTATAAAGTTCAGGCAAGGATTAGTTCCTAAAATATATCATTGATAGTTTGATAATCACATAGGCATAGAAATGATGTCATCTTTAAAAAGTTTAAAGTAGAGGTAAAACCTGAGGAATAAAAAAATTATACTTAAAAAAGTGGCAAGGGCAGCACTGAACAAAATATAATACACTAGGAATGCTTATGTCATGTAGCCTTCAAAAACACAAAACTACTTCAAACCAACCTTCCAGATGCCTCTGTATCCTTTAAATTTCAAATCCTCCAACAACTCGTCAAATTTATCAACCTCCTGGAAGTAATAGAATAAGATCAAAACAGTTAAACAGATTTCACAGGTGCAGTATCCATGAAAATAACATAATTAAGAAAGAATCACAATATGATCAGCAAAGAAGGCATGAAAAAGATTCCAAACACAGAAATCTTGCTGAGATGTTAATGCAAATAAAAAACCTTGTTTGAAAAACTATTGTAAAGTACTTTTTGGAAAATGAAGTAGACTATGTCATGAGATGTAAAATTCCAAGTCTGGTGCCAACAATTATAAGTGAAGAATCTCTCTTGCTATATATCATTCTCTTATGTATTACTACTGCCCAGTACAACATCTATAATTCATGTTGTAATTATTAGACAAGCCAAACCAAATTTTACAAAGTATTACAATGTATGGTCACAATCATGTCAAATAGCATATTTGGGCAAGAAGTTAACATTGTGGTATAATATGAAACAGATTGGTAACCTGAAAACACATGATATCAGCATTCCACAAGCCAAGCTCAGACATAATTTTACTCTTTCTCCACCGCCAGTCCAACATGTAAGAAGGTACATGATAATAAAGTTTTTTCCAGTGGTCCATAGCAAGGTAATCGGCCAATATATTATAGGAAAGGACTTTAAACCTTTCTGCTGAAAATAGAAAAAATAATCACCAGGCACAAGCTAAATTAGTCTGATGAGGCAACAACAACAACAACCAAGCCTTGTGCCTCTAAGTGAAGTCGGCTTAAATTAGTCTGATGATGCATTGATGGAAAACTCCAACACAATAATAAATCATGAACAACAAAGAGTGGGAAGGGGGGAGGATTCATAAACAATCGACCTAAAACTTATTGTCCTCTCACTCGCCAAATCATCAGAGCTTTACACTTCAGATATATTTCTAGTAAAATACGTAAATGCTGAACCTCATCGTTCTTCTTACCACCCTCATCTTTCAATTAAACTTGTGTGCTCCGATTAGCAATAGCATCACAAATTCAAAAGTGTCATTTACCAAACCATGTATCGGGAATACCGTTTTCTATTGTCATTTTATTTCTTGAATTAATGCCTAAATGCATGTGGTTGCTCCTTGATATTGATAAGTTTACAACTCACATTAACATGAACAATGCAAATTAGCAACATTATGAACTCAGACTGCTAAAACCCTCATCAACCTAAACCCTAGATTTTGAACTGAAGTCATAATACAATCACATGGTACAAGAGTGAAGTTACCACAATGAGGAGGTGGCGGTGTCAAAGCAAGCTCCCACTCTCGATAATCCTGAGGCTTTGGGCGAAAATTCTGCAGCGGGCGAGATTCACGTCGGTGATCATTCGGCTGCCGAAAATGCGGCGGCCGATGAGGATAAGGACGAGGCCTTGGATTGTAAGACTGATTCTGATATTGCGGCGGTGGATGAGGCCTTGGATTGAAAGACTGATTCTGATATTGCGGCGGTGGATGAGGCCTTGGATTGAAAGACTGATTCTGATATTGAGGCGGTGGATGAGCATTGTAAGGTGGATTTTGATAATAAAACAGTGGCGGACGAAACCTGGGATCGTGAGGTGGATTCTGATAGTACTGCGTTTGATTCGCAGAGCTTCCTCTCTCGCCTTGCCGGATTGCTGAGTTCGCGTCGCGGACTGACTGTAAGTGATCGTCTCCAGTAACGAACTTGTCCCTCCCTCCGGCATATGAGCGGCCGGAGTATCCTCTACGGTGACCTCGGTGCTGCAAATTTTGAAGAAGAAAATTAATGAAAATAACGAGTGTTAAATTTTGAGAGTGGGTTTATGCGTTGTTACTATGAACACGTAAGTGTATTACAGAAGAAGAGAGAATACATAAGGACGTAAAGACATTGCGGCGGTGGAGAAGGCGGCGTCGGTGGCGGCAAGGAAGTTGGTAGTCGGAGGAGTGCGTCGCATTGTGCGGGAGTGAAACAATGAGAGTAGAAGAGGAGCGCGTGAGAGATGCTGGCGCGTTTTTGCACGCTCGTTACGCGTGAGGGCTACACGAATCTTAATTGGGTTGTTATTTTTTTATTTTAATTTCTTATAGCACCCTATCCATTTTTACTGCACCGTCTAAAATTTTACATATATTCTTTGATTATATATATATATATATATATATATATATATATATATATATATATATATATATATATATATATATATATATATATATATATATATATATATATATTTTCAGACGTTTCTAAAGTTTAATGAAAGTTAAAATATTTTTGAGATATATTTTTAGAATAATTTAGAGTATATTTCACAGTTTTCACACACCTTCAAACTAACCAAAAGATCTTTTCAATACACTTCAACTTCACAACATCGAATTTCATGAAACAAGGCTCAAATGAACATCAAATTTCATCAAACAAGACTCAAATGAACATCAAATTTCATCAATAACATCATTCAACATCCTCAAAATCATAAATTTTAAGTAAAGTTTCGAATTTTTGGTAAATATTCGAGTTTTAGTATAAAAGTGTAGAAATCAATGATTACGGTTCGAAATGTGTAGGAATCACATGTAATATAGTTTAAACTTAGTGTATGACTTGTTTGTTGGCTCAAAATGGAGATCAGGTCATGCTTTTTGAGCTTGCATGAGTCATATTACGCCATTGTAGCAACCTTTGAGATGAAGAACTTTTCGGAGATACATCTCCAGAATAGTTCAACGTTTCATATAGTTTACGCAGGCACATGGTGATGCTGAACTGGCGGCGGTACACAGGACATATGCTTTGAGAGCATAGTTTATTTTTTTGGTTAGAACTTGTATTTTGTGTACACATGTGTCACTTATAATGACGTTGCATACCTCTGGTACTTCTTGAATCTACAGGAGATCCATGAGTACAATTGGGAAGCGACTTGTCTGGCCTATCTTTATTCGAAGTTGAAGGGGATGTCTTTGGAAGACGGAGCAGATCACAAGTAACGTGACACTACTGGTGGTAATAATTCTTAATCCTTGAATTTTCTTTTTGTCATTTTCATTTCATATTTGTGAAACCGTTGTCGATAATTCTTGATTCTTGAATGTTTTTTTTATTTTAATTTCAGGCTTGGATCCTCCAACACTTCCCGCGCATTGCTGGCTGGGCCAGTGTGGATGAGTACACTAAGGACATGCCTTATGTCTGTGCTTTTATCCCGCTGAGATGGAACCACATGGTCGAGCCTTTCAGAGTCTACCTTGATCGTTTAGTTGTTGAGGACATGCACTTAAGCAGCTATGTGGATCACCATCAAATGCGGTCATTTGATGAGATATTCCTATACTTAGGATGGTTGGCATGCGGATCACGTATCACTGCTTCTCGCCTGCTCGAGCGCGTCATGCGACAGTTCGGGTACACCCAGATCATCCCTACACACTCTGTTGTCTCTACTCCACCTGCCTTAACTCGTAGAATGATAGATGAGATGTTTCTTGATTATGAGAGTCGTCTGGTTCTAGAGGGGGCACGGGCTACCATAATGCCTAATGACTGGAGCTACGTCGATAGATACATCAGGTGGTTCTTTAGGGTTTCACATTCGTACAAGACGCATATTGCTTCATGAGTCCCACCGATACCATCTCATTAGGAGATACTAGAGGAAGAGCAAGTTCAACTAGATCATATTAATAATGTCTTACCTCAGTGTTATTGCATAGTGGAGATTGCACAGACAGACATTGACAAGGGTATCTTTCTTGAGGGGTCTGTTGTCAGGCGAGTCCTAGATGCCATGGTGGCGGAAGCGCAGGAGGCATTGTTGTACCAGAGACATTGTCAGAGGACGGGGGGATTGATGGCCGAGGAGGTTAAGGAGATGTTTTCAGGCACACCCAGTAGTAGTGTGTTATTATTTTATCGTATTATTATACTCTCTACTTTATTTTTACGGTTTTATCACATTTTGGATTTCGATTGTATATATATATATATATATATATATATATATATATATATATATATATATATATATATATATATATATATATATATATATATATATATATATATATATATATATATATATATATATATATATATATATATATATATATATATATATATATATATATATATATATATATATATATATATTGTTATACTTTGTCCAGTATTAGTCTCTTATTATTTTTCACGTCTATTTTTTTTTATTAGGGTCATGTTTTAATCTTCATCTGAAAACAAATACATAACTTATAGTTAAAAACAAATTATTTTGATACACTTCGGAGACGTATCTCTGAAATATTAGTGGAAATGAATCTCCAGAACAATTCAAATATAAATGGTGTTTGAGTGATACATTTTTAATGCTTAAAATGATTTTGAAGATGTATCTATGAAATATGTCAATGTTTATTCAGAAATGGAGTGTGTCAACAAATGTATCTTCAAAATCAGGGGGTATATATAGAAATTCACATGGTGCATAAGAAATATCTAGGATGGAAAAAGAAATTCTCATTTTTTAAGGATTTAACCTGCCACCCTCTCTTTTATATCTGGCACCCCACTTTATTTGATAATTCTAAAAGTGCTTCCGCTCAAAATTGGATTCAAATGTGCATAGAAAATTTTTAGTAGGTAATTCAAAATTCCCGACACATTCAAAAAATTTGGTATTGTATTCATAATTTTCGGTATGAACTAATACTAGAATTTTCAAATTTTTTTGATACGCTTGAAATTTTACCGGTATTTTCAAAAAATGCCATGCTATATCGAAAATTTCAACCAATGGGATACTTTTTATAGTTCAATTTTATAAGATTTCCAATGGTTAGGATTTTGTTGACAGTTATGTACAACTCTGATTGCACCGACCGTTTTGCGTGGTCCATAATGAATTCAAACTTGTATAAATAGGGGTCACCTGTTGTTGGGAAAAACATCTCAAAATGTCTCTTCTTATATTTTTGGTTAAGGCATAAATGTACTTCAATTGAGTTGCACCTCTTGTAGAGTTCTGGATTTTGGATGACACGCATCTCTCGCCGCTTTGACATCCAAATTGAATGAATTATTTTATGATACCAATAACATAAAGGTTGAAGGATCGAGTTTCGTGAAGATTGAATTGATACTGATGGAAGGATGAAATGCAACCTTATTGAGTTAAAGACCGTTGAAGATTTTACAGTTATGTAGAGATCATTTCATCAAAGGCTAACTAAGGGCTCGATCGAGTTAGATGCAAAGATTTCAAAATCTGTCGACGACATAATTAAGATGCTAAAATAACAAGCAAGTTGTCTGGTCTCGAAGGCATCCGCAACTCCAAGTGTTGCAAATAGGATGGCCAATACATCATACCCCCAAGCCTAACTGGTATCGTCAATGCTACTAAATAGTCACATGTATTAAAGGTCAATATAAACATGAGACTTATTTGTAAAGTGAGTACATGTTACTAGATGTAGCATGAACACCCTAGCGACAACCTTATACATCAGTGCCTCCACTAGCTCAGGGTACCTATCCCGAAGCCAAGACATTTAAAGGAGAGCTCCCTTTTTAAAATCAAACTCCTCTAGCATAACCTCCTCAATGACTCTGAAATCTTGTACAACCACCATACATGCAAGCTTTTGGCTAATAACAAGAGTATTGAAGAATCTACCGACAATGGGGAGATGGAACAAAGAGAAGACATCGTCTTATGTAATAGTCACCTCCCTAAATAGAAGATAAAAGGAAGATGTATCTTTGTGCCATCACTTAACAAAAGCAGTCATAAATGAAGTGTCAAACATGGTGAGTGAGCAATCGAAAAATGATAGGAGACCAAATCACGTACAATTCGCCCGACCTACTCAAGCATCAGACTCTTAGAGAAGTTCTTCATCTTTGACTCGTGGGATGTCACCTTTAGCGGGAGACGGTCCTGTAACAAACAAAGTTAAAATAATTAGCAGTTAGATTTCAACACATCATGGAACAATAATAAATAAATTAAAGTTAAACATAAAATATATATACATTTTCCTGCCATAATCGGTATGTTACATGGTCAGCAGACTCGGTAAGCATCGATTGGTCACTGGGTCCTTCTAGGAACTCTATATTCGTGTGCACAAATGGATTCGTCAAAGCAGGAGTCGTAACCTTTGTATCAGTAATAGTTGTAGGGACCGAATATGTAGCAGCCACCTCATTAGCAATAGAGGCATCTGTCTCAGCCACCTCGTCAGCAACAAGTATCACGCCTGTCTTGATTGTTGGGTCATGAACAACATGAAACTACACCTCCTAAGCATGAACAACCTTAGCATCATCTTTAGGATGCTCGTCTTATATAACCGCTCGGCGTTGGGTGCTACGGGGTGCATGGAACTGCACCTGCTTAGCCAACTGTTTCTGGTGTGAACCGGTTGGAACTACTCGTCCAGCCTGTAGTTGGGAAGACTCTACCTCAGTAGACCTATCCTAGATTGTCACTCTATTTATGTTCATGGCTAAAATGGAGCCATTCTTTTACCCTAGACTTTATTGCAAAATGAAAAAACACAAAAAAAAAAATGAACTAACAACTTCAAAATTTCTTACATATCAATGGAAATTGTGAAATTTCTGGTGAAATTCCAACTTTTTTGGACTGTCGGGAATTTTGAAATTCTCGATACCATGCTATGAATAAATACTAGGAACTTCGAAATTTTCGATAAAAATGCATGTAAAAATCTAAAGGATTGTTCCAAAAAATTTGAAATTTCTAGTAAAAACCTTACTTTTTCAAGTTTTTCGGTAAAAGTGTGAAATTTTCGGTATCGCTCTAGAGGTTTTGTAATTTGTGAAAATTCTGAGTGGATTTTGAAAAATAATTGAAAATTTTGTAAGGTTAATATAGTCAAATTATTGAGTTTGTGGGGGTGCCAATTTAAATAGAGTTTGTGGCAG